AAAAAAAAAAAAAAAAAAAAAAAAAAAAAAAAAAAAAAAACCAAACAAACAAAAATCAACAACAACAACAATAACCATTTTTAAAGGCAGGGTCCCAGGCTGACTTCAGACTCCCTATGTAGCTAAAGGTGACCGTGTATTTCTGACCCTCCTGTCTCTATCTCTTGAGTGCCGGGATCACAAGTGTGTGTTACCTTGCCTAGTTTTTGTGGTGTGAAGTATTAAACCTAGGGCTTCATGTATGTTAGGCTAATACCTTACCAGCTGAGGTGCAAACCCAGCACCCCCACCCCGCTTTAAAGAAATTAAAATATCTCCATGGTGTCTAAAAGAATGGTAAACTCCTGGCCCTGCTGAACCTGCCAGAGAAAGGGCCCCAGGGGCTACATTGAGGCAAGGGTAGACCCCCAGAGAGGCCTGCGGAGTGCCCAGCACCCCTGTATCCCAGGGAGGAAGGTGCGTGTGATGGGCACCCTGGGCACACTGCTCTCTGGCTCCGGAGCTGGGGCAGGGGGATTAGCTTTACACGACTGAGCTCTGGCAGAGGGAAGGAAGAGAGTAAAAGAGAAAGGAAAATTCAGGGTTGCCACATGGAGTGTGGTTAGCACATTAGGATCATGGCTCTGATTTCCGGTAAAGTTGAATGCACCGGGGACATGAAGCCATACGCATGCTGGCATTATCCTGCGGCCTTAGATACAGGCCGGGGGCATCCATTTCCAGGCAGAACCAGCCCTTTCCCATCCATCCTCGAAATCCTTCCCCCCATAGCTGTCCCCACCCAAGCCCAACTTCCTGCCTCTGCCAAGCCCTGCTATGTGGGTCACCTTAGTCACTCATTGTCCTGCTTGGTGGGGACCCACTCCAACCCTCAGGGCAGGGCGAGGTGGAGCCAGAGGAAGGGGGACATCCCCAGGAGCTGCCCTCTCCCTACCCTGAGCTCTAAAACCCTGTGGGCTGGCAAGGGTTCTTCCTCCACCCAAACAAACTGTAGTTTGTCTCAGCAAAGTGACCTCTGCTCCAAAAAAATCACTGCATTGTGTGCTCTGCGAGACACCCCACAGGCTGGGGATGACCTCAGGGCCATTAACAGGGCACTGGGCAGATGCAGTTCCTGTTGGCAAGGTCCAAGGCATTGGACTCTTGGAAAGACTGGGCAGCTGTGTTCAGAGTACTGAGTACAGATCTGAAGACAACTGCAGGAGAAACCAGATTTTAGCCGATTGGACCCTGGTCTTCAAGCGTGCTAAGCAGCACGCAACCACTGAGCTACGTCCCCAGCCTCCTCTTTCCATTTTGAGACAGGGTCTTATCAAGTTGCCCAGTCTGGCCTTGAACTCACAATCCTCCTGCCTCAGCCTTCAAGTATGAGAATTATAGGCCTGCAACACCAGGCCTGTTTGATAGAGGCCATCTTGGAAATAGCAATCTCTCCAGGTGCATATGGACAGAGCTAAAATTAACCTAAGTCAGCAGACAACAGAGTCCCCAGGGTAGTGTCCAGTTAGTGTGTGTGTGTGTGTGTGTGTGTGTGTGTGTGTGTGTGTGTGTGTGAGAGAGAGAGAGAGAGAGAGAGAGAGAGAGAGAGAAAGAGAGAACATGTGTGCATGTTGAATGTGTGTGTGTGAGTGTGTATGTGTGAGTGTGTGTGTGTGTGAGTGTGTGTGTGTATGTGTGTGTGTGTATATGGGTGTTTTGATGCTATATATGTGTGTGCACCACCAAGGAAGTCAGAAGAGAGAATCAGATCTCCTGGAACCGGAGTTACAGATGGTTGTTATCCACTGTGTGGGTGCTGGGACCCGATCCTTTGGACAAGTAGCCAGTGTTTTTAACCACTTAGTCATCTCTCCAGCCCCCCAAAATGGGGGGGGCGGGTATTTTTAACTGGGTGTGGAAGCAGGAGGATCATAAGTTCAAGGTCATCCTCAGCTACACAGTGAGGTGGAGGCTAAACTGAATTGCATGAGACCTTGTCTCAAAATAATAAATAAATAAATACATAAATAAATACATAAATAAAATAGAAAATAGAAAATAAAAAGGTTGTTCCGGCCTCTGTTAGAATTAGAAAAGCCAAAGTAGACACAACAGAAGAATTTTAAAAGCCTCCCTATCAAGTATGTCATAAAACTTCCCAAAATAGAGAAGAAAAGAAAACAAGTAACGGTCCAGAGAAAGGGGTCGCCTAATAGCAGAGAGGTCAGGCACGGGGGCTAGCCTGGAAGGCCACTGAATTCCCAGGCTGGACGGCCTCACTGTGTCAGAGCAAGAAGGAAACAAGTGAGGTGGGGAAACTGAGGCTGGGGAGGTGCACCCCAGCCTGGCCTCCTCCTGATACTCAGGCTGACCTGGGCTTTTCCCAGCTCTCCTCTCTCACTTCCTCCTTTGCCACGGTCCCCTAGCTGACAGAAGGCGCTTCCAGGAGCCACTTCATTTCTCTGAGTATCAGTTTCCTGTCTGAGCAGCGAGGACACTGGCGTCTCCCCCAGCAGCTGTGAGAGGAGGTAGTTACAGCCAGACTCGAACCCTGCTGTGCCTCGCTCATCCTCATGCCAACCTGGATGAGTTTAAACCAGGGCCTCGTGAACACCGGCCATAAGCTGGGGACCTCTCCCCTAATGGGGACTCGTGGACCACACACCACCTTGTGTCCCCAAGGTTCTTACATTGTGATTTAATCCCAAGGTGATGATGTTAGGAGGAGGGCCTGATGGATAGACTCTTGTCTCTAACAGAGGACTGGGTTACTTACCTCGAGGTTGGGGTGACTATGGAAGAGTTTAGCCCTCTCTCCCTCTCTCACCACGTGATGCTTTTCATCATATTGAGTAACAATAAGAAGGCCCTCATTGGATGTGACCCACAGTCTTGATCTTGTGCCTCTCAATCCCCAGAATTGTCAGCCATGTTTATAACCAACCAGTCTATGGGATTCTGTGATGGCAGCCAAATGGACTCAGACACCTGGTTCCTAGTGCTGTAGGAACTCACAGGCTCCAGACCTGGATTGAATCCTTTGGTACCAAATGAGTCACCTCTCCTGTCTATAAACTGAAATGCCAAAAGAATTCTTATTTTGAGGCTGGATTTTTGTGTGGAGCTGGCCCATGGCTCCACACACTTCCTCTGTTGGTTCCTGCCACGCCCCAGCCCCCGTAGATGGCAAATGGCTCACCTGGGCACCAGGCATTGAAGAGCAGGGTGAAGTGGCCCAGCACGAAGCTGGAGCCTTGGTAGCCAGTAGAAGCCTCCAGGCTGAGGCGGTACTGGCCGATGGGAGCATTGGCTGGGGTGCAGAGCTGCAGCGCGAGGACACTGTCCTGCTGGTCCAGCACTGAGGCTGTCCAGGATCCCTCCTCTACGTCATCGGACAGTGGGAAGCGGACCTTGGTCCCTGTTTCTTCACTGGGAACTGGGCCTGCAGAGGGGAGATGGAAGAGCTGTGAATGAAGGGCGGGCTGGGAGGACACAGTCCAGGCTCCCAGGCCTGGGGTCAAGACCTAGTTCCACCTCTGGCCACTGGAGGAACTCTGCCAAGAGGCTCCACACCCCCCTAAACCTGTTTTCTCATTGGTGGAGTAGGTATTGCAAGCCCACCTGGAAAGTCATAGAGAGGCTCACAGTGAGTTTACAATCAGAGAGTTCCAAGAAAGAGGACAGGACAGCCTGGGGTTGTTGCGGCCGTCCACCTCGGATCCGAGGTGATGTCAGACGGGCTCAGCTTGCTTGTCCATGCCACCAGCAGGAACGAAGGCAGACATTGCCAAGGACCCACACAGTTCTGAGCCCCTTTCCTGTACACCACTGTTCCTCTTGCAGGATAGCTGCACACTCCTGAGACAGAACCTGAACATCTGAGATCATGGCTACAGGCTGGGGGGTGGGGCATTGGCCTACCGGGGACTCTCTGGTTATGGGTTCAAATCCCATGGGCAGCACGAGGGCCACCACTTCCCTACAGCCCTGTGCACATGGCTATGGCTTCATTTCCAAAGATTCTGCTTCCGGGTGAGTTACAAAGGTCCTGTGTCCTGGTCTGCACAGACCTCTTCCAGGTAAGGGGTGGCCTGGCCCACGCAGGCAGGCCTGAGTCACAGGAGGGCAGGGCTGGTCACTTTGGCCTTGGGTAGAGAGTGGAGAAACAGAGGAGCTTTCTGGCTAGCTGGGAGGCAGCCTGGAGGTTTATTTTTACTTCTCCACGCCCTCCCTGTGGCTCTGCCATCCGCTGCTGACAATATTGGGGCCTACTCACCGAGGGGCTCCCTCCCAGCCTCCACCTCTCCTCCCCGCCTGCCAACACCACTGCACCCAGGCCCAAATATAACCGTGAGCTAATAGGCATGACACAGGCCTCAAGAGGCTGTCTGGGTGCCAGGGGTTGAGGTGGAGGCTTTCAAACCCTCCCTGACTTCCAGAGCTGACATTTGGAGAGGAGCCAGCTAGCCCTGAGACTCAAGAGAGCTACCTTGAGTTCAGTTCCCACCTCTACCCCAATCCAGCACTGTGCAATCTAAGGCAAGAACCCAGGCTTCTCGGACCCATAGTATCTTCATCGAAGAAACAAGTGTGGGTCACATGCCCCAGAAAGTCCAGTCTCAAGTTTGAAACTGGCTTACAACCTTGTAGCAAGGGACTTTGTTTCTCCAAGCCAGAGTTCCCGTCTGTGAAATGGGGCCTTTCTCTATCTATGAAATGAAGTCATTCCTTCCAAGGTTGCCAAGAAGTTTCCAGAAGGCAAGCCTGGCACACAGTAAGTGCTCAGTAAATAGTTACTATGGCCTATTATTCTCACCACTGCGTCCTGGAACAGTTGGAGGGTTGGGGGGGGGCATGGAAAGCATTCAGAGCAGGGACAGTCCTCAGACATGCTCCCTCCAAAGACCTTGAGATATCTGAGTTGTCAGGCCAGACAGCGGGGCTCTGAGGGCTCTGACACAGGGCACTTTGAGCACAACGCAATCACTCCACAAATGTGGAAACTGAGGCAAAGGGAGGACGGCTGGTTAGGAGTGGGCAGGGTGGCTCAGTCCTAATTATGCTTGCAGCCCGGCACAACCTGACCATCGCCCTTCCCTTCTCAGAAATGTCCCTGTTTGGATGATCAATGATCTGGTCACTCTGGTAACCTGCCTGGGCCAGGTCCCACTGCCACTGTCTCTGTTGACATACCCTCCCTAGGGCAGGGCAGGAAGTACACATCCCACCTCTCTATCTGGGAACAGTCACGCATGTACTTGCATGTGTACACACACACACACACACACACACACACACACACACACACGCACTCACATACACACACACCCCTTTCTTCCAAGAGGACTTGCTGGGGGACAGGCCAGGACACACTGTCCCCTGGTCCCACCACTGCTTCCATAGCTGGCTTTGCCAAGTTCCTGGCTTGCAAAGGTAGTCTTGGTGAGGTCAAGGATGCCAATGATGGTCCACTTTAGACCCATGTAATTTTAGAGACCCAAGGGGTCTTGGCACTGCCCAGACCATGGTGACAGGGTAACACCTTCAGTTAGCCTCACAACTGCTCCCTTCACCCCCTTGGGCTGGCCTCATCTCAGGCCCCCACCCTCCAAAGAGGAGTGCTTCGTCCTGTAAGCTCCTTGTAAGACAAGGGCTGTTTGTCCGCTGTGGCCTGAGCCTGCTGCAGACCACCAAACTGCCTAGGGAAAAATAAACAGCTGGGGTACGACCACAAATCCCTTCCCTGAGTGACTTGATTAGCTCTCTCCCTTCTCTCAGCCTCAGTTTCCCTGAAATGGCAGGACAGGCTGAGCATAAACTAGAGAGTTCTAATGGAGGAGGACGTCCCCAGCCAGGCTTGGGCTGGGCACTGACTCAAGCCTGGCCTGGAGGTAGGAGCCTGGCTTCCTGGTATTGTCCCTTAGGCTTCCTAGGCACCTGGGAGGGTCTTGGATAGTGGACAGGGAAGCCAGGACTGCCTACAGATGGAAGTGACCCATGGGGACTGGTGAACAGAGATTAGCTGCAGGGTTCAGGAGGTCAGTGTTCCTCCCAGCACTGAATGCAGGATGCTAAGTACCTCTGTACACTCCCCAAACCATGGGGACGCACGCAGAAGAAGGAAGAGTCTGTGTCAGGGAGGAGAGAGAACGTGGGTGCTCACAGGCTGCTTAGGCTGACAGCTCACCTGTCACCCATGTCACAGAGGAATACACCGAGGCCAGGCAGGCACTCAGGTGGACACGGGGTTAAGTGACCGAGAGCCTCAACTCACAGCTGGGTCAGGGACTGAAACCCGCTGTCCTTCTAACCCTTTCGTGACCCACCGAGCGAGTGACTTAAGCATCTAGCCTTACCTCAGCTCCCTGTCTACAACATGGGAACCCATTTTGCTTCCATACTGGCGGCATTTGAGTAGGCATGTGGACTGCTCCAGTCTGTGGGTCCCCTTTCCAAGCATGATCCAGCCCTCACAAGCCCATATTACCCTACTCTGCAGGGGCTGGAAGGCCAGAGACGGGCTAAGACCCTTTGGTGGGTGCTGGTGTGGGGTGCCCCTGGTAATGGCTTCATCTGCGGATGAGGAGGGAGGAGGAAGGGATGGGGGGATATCTTGGCAGCCTGCAAACCCCGAGATAAGCGTATCAAACGGCCCTCAGATAAAAAGGGCCTCAGCTGGGCTGGGTCGGCAGCTCCTGCCTGCCACTCTTTCTACCCCCAAAGACCGAAGAAAGCTGGCCTTTCACACCCTTGGGCCAGAATCCCAGCCAGGTGGCCCCTTGCTGACCTCAAGGGAGTGGTTCCCACCAGAAGCCAGACAACTGATTTGGCACTCAAGGCCAGTTCCCTAGGTTAGTCAAGCAGAGAGATTGGGAACAGGGTGGACAGGGTCCAACATCTTGTTGCCCATCCCAGGAGCCCCTGGAATAAGACAAGCAGCAGTCATCAATAGCCACAAGACAATTCCTGGGCCATCTCACTTAACCCTCCAGTGTGAATTGCTGATGAAACTCAGGCTCAGAGAGGCTACGTGTCTTGTCTTGATGTCACACAGCAGGTCAGCAGTCCACCCTTCCTCTAGTAGGACTCTTTCCCCCCTACCCAGAACTGGTTTAAGCCAGATCCCAGAGGCCTGGTAGGTTCTAGGAAGTCTTGGTGAGAAGAGACAGGAAAGTTGTTTGGTGTGGGAAACATGCTGGATTATGCTATGAAATAATCCTTTTGTACACTGTGAAGATGGGTTGCTCTCATTGTTATTAAAAAACTGATTGGCCAATAGCTAGACAAGATTTTCAGGGCAGAGAGAATGCTGGGAAGAAAGAAGGCAGAGTTGGAGGAGTTGCAAGCCAGACTTGGAAGAAGCAACATGGAAAGTTCATAGATGAGGCAGCATATAGATTAATAGAAATGGGTTAATTTAAGTTGTAAGAGCTGGCTGGAGACAAGCCTAAGCTATTGGCCAATCATTTATAATTAATAATAAGTCTCTGTGTGGTTATTTGGGAATTGGCTGGAGGGACAGAAAAGTCACCTACAGGATTGTGGTGAACCTCCAAGACAGAAAGCTGTGGAATGTGGAAATCCAGTATACAGGCTTGGGTGGCCTGAGGTGGCCACTCCCTCTTCCATTCTGGACCTCAGTTTCTCATCTGTGAAATGGGGCCAATGACAGCTGAGATTCTCACTGGATGGGAGAGACCATGAAACGGGACTGGAATTCATCTGTCCTGTGCCCACCAGGAGCAGGACACAGAGGAGATCAAAGGTACCCACCTGTCACAGCACCAAATGTAAGACTGTCCACGCTGGCCTCATAGCCACGGCCCTCAAAGTACAGTGTCAGCCGGAAGCGCTGGCCACGCCGCAGCACCAGCTTCTCGTGGCACAGGTCAGCCGTGTGGTGGTCACGGCCATTGGCCTGTATCTCCAAGTCACACCTCTCCAGGATCAACTCTACAGAGACAGAAACAGGGACAGGCATGAGTCACTATGGCATCTCTCAGGGGGCTGTGGTCTTCAGTGATACGATCCCACTCTCTGTAATACGGGGCTCTGCACCCCTGTGACCTTCTCTAGACCCTGGCGACACTCTCTCACCTCTGTGAGGTACAGCCCCAATCCTTTCAATCCCATAGTTTTCCAGGGTCACAGAAGTCTGCCAAGGTTAACTGTCTCCAGTGGGTTTTTTGTTTGTTTTTGTTTTTTCCGAGACAGGGTTTCTCTGTGTAGCTTTGCACCTTTCCTGGAACTCACTTGGTAGTGCAGGCTGGCCTCGAACTCACAGAGATCCGCCTGGCTCTGCCTCTGGAGTGCTGGGATTAAAGGCGTGCACCACCACCACCCCGGCAATCTCCAGCATTTTTAATCACAAGGCCATGCTTGCAGCAGAAGGGACCTCTGTTATGCCCCAGTCATGGGATCTCCAACAATTCAAAATTTCTGGGCCTCAGTTTCCAGGACCTACCTTATAGGGCCATGGCAAGCATTAAAAATGTTGGTATGTGTGAAGCCCAACACAGTAGTTAATGCACAGGCACCTGGTCCACACAGCCTACCACATGCTCACAAGCTTCAAGGGGTCTTTGGTGGAACCTACTGGAGTTACTCAGCATTTGCTGCCAGAGCCAAATACCTTTCCCCCTCCCTCCGCTCCTCTTCTCCCTTCTAGTCCTTTCCCTCCCTCCCCTTCCCCTCTTGTTACACAAAGCCTCACTATGGAGCCCAGCCTGGCCTTAAAGTCCTTTTCCTCCTGCCTGAAGACAGCCTGTGCCATCCTGTCTGATTCAGACCCAACTTTCAATGTACAGGAAATACCATAGACTAAGGAGCAGGCTAGAGGACCGGACCAGGGCACGGCCAACGAAATTCAGACTCTGGGAGACCTTCAGCAAAGGATCTGTTTTCCCTAACACATCAACTGCTAGAGAGAACAAACAAACAAACAACAACAAAGCAAGTCTAAAAGCTCGGGGGAGGCCCCATGATGAGAAACCGGGGGTGGTTGCAGGTGCCGCACTTACTAAGACTGACTTTACAAGATGATTTGAAAACATTTCCTATGTGCAGGAGACAGCTGGGAATTGAAACCGTAACAGAACAGAGACCTCCAGGGACTCTGCTCACTTGTCTACTGTGAAGCAGAGTCCTTATTTTTGATGGCAGGTGTTGATAGACTCACAGCTGATATGACACGAGATTTTCTCCCCAAGACCATCAGAGGGGCTGGAGGCAGGCACAGGCTGAGAGCAGAAGAATTTATTGCATTGTGCTACCCTCTCTACTTCATAGATGTCCAGTATTCTCCAAAACAAAAGATTTTAAAAGGACAGTTGGTGGCGCACGCCTTTAATCCCAGCACTCGGGAGGCAGAGCCAGGTGGATCTCTGTGAGTTCGAGGCCAGCCTGAACTACCAAGTGAGTCCCAGGAAAGGCGCAAAGCTACACAGAGAAACCCTGTCTCGAAAAACAAAAACAAACAAACAAAAAAAAAAAAGGACAGTTGGCGAGTATTACAGACCTACATTTTCATTCTACTATACTGCTTTGGGATCCTAGACAAGTGTCCCTACCTCTCTGTGCTCCCTTCTCCAAAACCTCAAAAGGTGCTACCAAGTAAAGAGAGGGCCCAGCCCAGGAGAGAGGCATTTGGAGTGGAAGCTCTATTTTTCTGTTCCAGAAGGAGCTGAGGACCTGGGCAGGCACAAGGTGACAGGTGTGTGTGGGAGTCTGAACAAGCTCATGGCCAGGACTGGGGAGTCCTTCAGGTCGGGGGTGGGCATAACACTCTCAGAGCTGTCGAGCCAGTGAAGGACATGTGGTCCAACCAAGGCCCAGGGTGTGGATTGGCCCAAAGTCATCCAGCCCAGGGCTCAGGCCTCCTGCTGTGCAAGAATTCCAGATTGAGGGGAAATGTCCCAGAGGTGCAGCCGGCTTCACCTCAAATGAAATGAGTGATCCTGGCCCCACAGCAGGTGGCTACTTTGGTTTGGAGCAGGACTCAAAGGCTGTCCTGGTAATCGCCTCACCACAGCAGAGAAGTTAATGCCATTGTCATTGAGGCAGGACAGACCCACAAAATCCTCAACCTTGCAAGGCTAGGGCAGGTGGGAAAGAGGATGTCTCTCTAGAGACCCTGGGGGGTAACCATCCCTCAGCCTGCGAGACAGGGTGCAGTACCCCACCCACATGCTGAGGGTACAGCAGACAGAATCACAGAACTCATGGGCTCAGGCCTTCTGGGCCGGGGGCCCCTGCTGGAGGGATCCCCAAGGCCTGGGCCATCTCCCAGGTGCCTTAGCTTTTGGAAATAGGGATGGGAAACTGACTTGGGAATAAGCAGCCCCTTGGGTGACATATCACAGCCTGTTGGGGTTCCAGAGAAGGAAGTGACCAAGGCCACACAGTAGGGCTAGTCCTCTGGAACTTCCCCTCGGTTCCTCTTCATGTCCCCTCTCTCCTTGCCCCAGGTCCCTTCCATGAGGTCACAGTGCAGACAGATGCCATCCCTGAACGGACTTGACTCAGCAGTCACCTGGGATTCTGCTCTGACAGTGTTAGGAACATCTTCCATCGTCCAAGTCCTGGCCCATGTGTGTCCGTGTGCTTCCCCGATACATATGTGAGCACATGCCACACGAAGGCAGCGGGCAGGAAATGAACAGGACCCTGGACCCTTCCCACTCTTCTCAGCCCTCGTGGGAGCACCAAGGCTGGTACTACAGTCCCTAAATTACAGCAGGGAACACCAAGTTTCAACAGGTGGCCAAGGTCCAGGCTTGGAGAACACGAACTTAAAGGGACCTCAGAGAACAGGCCTGGCTTCCGCGGTGTTCCACCAAATGCTGGAATGTCCCTTCGACTTGAGGCCACAGAATCGGTCAGGAAGGCTGCGCCCCTCTCCAGGCACCAAGGAAAGCCAAGTACCCCACGCCTGCCAGCATCCCTGTACCTGGCACACAGCAGGGACGCAGCTCGAACTGAGCAGTTAGGGAAAGGTAACAGTACCTAACCCTTCCAGGTACGCCTTCTGGTAGTCTTTTCACCTCATTCGGGGACAGGGCTAACAGCTGTGCCGGGGTTCAGGGAATTGAGGCCGACAATTTAGGGCCAGCAAGGTCCCTGCCACTGGCCCACCTGTTGTTCTTCTCTGGGGACTTGGAGACTGCCCGGCCTGCTCCCGACCCCACTTCCTTGCGGCCCAGGCACTCACCCTCGGCCATGGCCAGGTTAGCGGCGACAGCTCGGACGCGGCGGGACACTCGGGCGCGGACCACCAAGCGCGGTGCTGCGGGCCAACCGCGCGGCGCGAACTTATAGCCCGTGGCCGGGCGGGCCCGGGCGGGGCGGGGCGGAGCGGACACTCCGGGCAGTCAGTCCGGAGACCAAGACGGCCAGGGGCGCCCCCTGCCGGACAGAGGGCGACCTCGGAACAGACCCCTGCACCGCGAAGTACACCCAGATCAGATCAGGGCCACTAAACACACAGATATGAATCACAGGCCAGATCAATGACCAAGAACACGCACCCCTCCACACACGTATATGCGCGCGCACACACACACACACACACACACACATATGTACACCACACACACACATGCACACGGGGCAGACACACAATCAAGCAGGCAGACGTAGAGATCCATGCATAGCCCCACAGAATCCACTAACAATTTTGGACACGCAGTGATTAGATCACATCTGACATTAAATCACATTGGAAGCTTAGAGATCAGCCAGGATACAGACAAGACATGAAGTTGGGTTCCCACTAAGCCACATATAGCCCTCAAATGAGTAGGTATCTGGATGTGGGAGCTTATAGACTCTTTGGCAGACCGAGGCGCAGGTACTGGCTTGTGGACACCCACAGACACCCAGATCCTTCCTGTCCCACCCAGTCACTCATTCCGTTAATCCCCCACCCACCCATTGCCCTCCCATCCACTCACCTATTCCCTTCTTTCCTCTCTCCCTCCCTGTGTTCCCCTTCTTTGTAGCTAGCCCACCGTGAACTAAGGCAGGAAGAACCCCCTTCCAGAGACGGTACCTCTGACTTCCCACAGACCAGCTCCCATCCTGGCTTCTCTGGTGACGGCGTGCCACACTCCCTTACCACCACGAAGCCTGAGTGGGAGCTTCCTGGAGAGGGACAGGCCTGTGGGTCCCCCACTAGCTCTTTTTCTTTGCATGACTCACCGCTTTGGGCCGAGAGGACACCCTGAGGATCTATTTGAATGTCACTTGGGATGCCAGGACTAACCCACACAGTTTCTGGGAGCCCTGGGGTCACCCCACTTTATTCTTGTTGTTATGGAATTGCTCCCCGTGGCTGGTGAAGGATCAGAGGGAAGAGCTGATGAGTGACGGCCAGCTAAGAAGCTAACCTTGAGTGCCCATGCTGGTCCTGACAGCGAGGGGCTCATGAAGGTATCTCAGCTCTGGGGGCTTCCATTCTGTCCTGTGAAGAGCAAGGACAAGAATTCATTCCTCACGAGTTTGAATGGGGCATAGTCAAAATGCTCAACACATAAGGACTCTTGAGCCCAGGCTGGCCTAAGGGCCAGGTGTCCCCAGGGTGTCAGTCCTGACATCAGAAGGGTAGAGACACTTCTGCTGACCTTTCCCATTCCAGGAGGGCACATTCTTCCCACCTCTGCTGCCACCCTAAGTGCCTCAGAAGACAGGAATGCTGGGAAGTTGTCCAGCAGCCCCTTACTGCTGCTGCCGTGGGGCCCACAACCAGCCCCCTGTGGCTGATGTGGAGGCCCATCACTCTTGCCACCACAGTGTCCCTATTATTATGGTGGCAGCCCATCCTCCTGAAGTCCCGTCTGGGTTCCCCCAACAGGGGTGTGGCTTGGGCTTCCCTTAATCATCGTATCTCAGTTTCCCACCTTTAAGGTGGAAGGAAGCATTGTGTCACCATGAAGCGTTTGAGAGGTCCGTGTGGGCTCAGACATGGACAGGACTGGTAGGTACAGCAGTTAGCAGTGACTCACTGAGCAGATTGTGGGAGGACCCCCCCCCCATCAGTTATTCCTGGTGCCTGCAAGGGACCCAGCACAAAACTGCAGACTTGCCCCGCACCCAGTGGCCAGCCCTGCATCCTTTCTCTGTCTCTTTCCACAGAACTGTGGCTACATGGGTGACTCAGGGCCTTGAGCCATAACAGGGCTGGTCAGTCAAATCCGGGCTGGCTTCAGGGAAGGTGGCAGGCAGGGGCCAGGGCAGAGCTGGTCCCAGAGACTGTTCCCAGTCCTGTCACCAGGGTCCCTTGTCTCTCTCTCTGAGCTCTGGTTCTTCTCTCTGTGAAACGGATGGGTCCCCAGCTTGGGGATTAGATATTGTCTGCCTGGTGTTGGTCACATACACATATAGAATCAGTAAGCATCACTAACGACTCCCTTATGAAGATACTCCTCACAAAGTAGGGCTCCCCGGGGATGGGAAGCAGGTCACAAATGCGGAACAATGGCTCCCTGTCCCCCAGAGATTCTGTGTGCCTGGGTCAGAGTGCTGAGTCTTACAGTCCTCAGAACTGGGACTCTCATCTTGAAGGGATGACCGGGTCTCACGGTGTGACAAAGGTGAGCTTGGGATACTTGACTCCTCCATGTATGGTCATGTATCCTCTGGAAGCCTCGCTATGTGCCTTTTGTCATTTGTGAAATGAGGTAACAGAGGCCCAAGAGGGGAAACGGCATGCCTGACGTCACATAGTCAAGTGCTTTAGCTAAAAGACAGGCTGACTGTTCTAGGACTCGGGTCAGCTTCGACTCCACCTGGCCCAGGGAAGCCCTCAGGGGCCTGTATCTGTCCAGTCCCACAGCCCACAGCAAGGGAGGCCCTCAGGGCTGCGGCTCATGCGTCTGACCTATGGTCTGTCATTTGCTGTGGGAGTCTGAAATGTCTGTGACCTTACAGAAAAAGGGACGAGTTGGGAAAAACTGAAGAAGGAAAGGCATAGGGGAAGATTAAAGTCAGAGATTGAGCAAACCTGAGGTCACACAGCATGACTGGGCTCCCAGACATTGTCTATTCCCATAGGGCAAAGGTCCCTGGGCCGGAGCTGACCCTGCGCTGCATGAAAGGGTGGGACAAGGATGGGGTACTAGCAGGCTTTCCCTCTTCTAGCAGCTGTGACTAACAGGGATGAGCAGTATCTGGTATGAGGCACCCAGGGCAGCCGGGCCACTCCCCTGAGCTGAGCCGATGGTGCGGTGGGGCCATTAGCATGGGGGATGTGTGGAAATGTCATGGGGTGGACAGACCCTGCAAGCCTTTGGAGAGGACGGCATGTCTAGGCTGCAGGGGGGTGAAGGGTGGAGAACAGTGGTGCTCTGACTGGAAGGCCACCAGCACTCCATCCTGAGGCCAATGTTGAATGTCTTTGTCTCCGCCCTACCAGCACCGGGGTTACATATAGGTGTTTACCACGGCATTCAGCTTTGACGTAATGCTCCGGTCCTAGTGCTTGCCCAGCAGATACCGTACCCACTGAGATACCCTTCCAGCCTTCCTGTCTTCGCTTTTCTCCTGCTCCTGTGATAAAATCCTCTGGCAAGAGCAGCTTAAGAGGAGAACGGTTCACCTTAGCTCGCAGGTCAACATTAGAATCCATCATTTTGGAGGAAGTTTGGGGTCAGCAGCTTGAAGCAGCTAACCATATTACATCTACAGCCAGGAAGAAGGAGAGGTGAACGCATGCCACTGTCTGCCCAACCCCTTCTCCACACGGTTCGGAGTCTCAGTCAAGGAATGGTGCTTCCCACAGTGGGCAGGTCTTCTCATATCAATTGACTATGGCAATTAAGGTACTTCCCCAGAGGCATGCCCAGAGGTCCATCTCCCCGAGATTACAGAGTCTGTCAAATGACAATTAGCAGTAACTGGCCTGCAGGCCCGTTACCACTAGCAACGTCACAGCCCAGCAACGTCACTCAGGCTAGGTCCAGGTTCAGCTCTGCCAGCTACTGTTGTTGTGGTCCTGGGTGTGTCTCACAGGGTCATCAGGCTTGGGAGAAGCAACTCAACAATGCCAGCAGGATTTTCTCACAGGGATGTCCACTCAGGTGCAGCCGGGATCTTGGCTCAGACAGCAAAGAATTCCAGGAGCAACCAGAATGAAGCCAAGTTGGGGTTTATTAAGAAAAGGACTGGCAGCGGGGAGCCGGGCAGTGGTGGCGCACGCCTTTAATCCTGGCACTTAGGAAGCAGAGTCAGGCAGATCTCTGTGAGTTCGAGACCAGTGTGGTCTACAGAGTTCCAGGACAGCCAGGGCTACAAAGAGAAACCCTGTCTCAAAAGAAAAAGAAGAAGGAGAAGGAGGAGAAGGAGGAGGAGAAGAAGAAGAAGAACAACAACAACAACAAGAAAAGAGGAATTTGTATCTGAATATCTTAGGTATAACTATATGGAAAAACTGAAGGCCAACCTGAGTTACATGAAACCCTGTCTCAAAAAATAAAAAAAAATGCAAGAAAAATAGACATTTAAAAAAATTATAAATACAGTCATAGCCATGTCTGTGAGCATCGTAGAAGCACACAGGTTTACAGAAGGCAGTGTGATTAGGTCACTTTGTGTTCTGGCTGGTTCGTTGGCCGTTTTAACAATTGTGTTCGAGGTATCACCAGAAAGGGGTACCTCTTTTTTGCCTCTATTCAGGCAATCTTCACAGCTGTCAGTTTTGAAGAAATACTGATTCCAGCCAGTGACAGACTGAAATCACATCTGCATTCCTCCTTGTGGCCCTCTAACTTTCCCTGTATTCTCTCCAGCCTCAACTACTCCGAGCCTCAGTTTCCTCCTCTGTAAGGTGGGCAGTGACAAGAGGACCGAACTCACAGGCTTTTGAGTCTACCACCATACTTGGTAGGCCTTGAGCACTCACAGAAGAGGCTGATTATTGGGAAAAAGAAAGACGAGAGTACTGAGACTGGGAACTCAGGACTGCATGTGGATAAAGGAACCAGCCACCACAACCAACCTGGGGCCACCGAGCTGTGCCTAGATGACACCAGGACAGGCAGATCCTTGGAGACAGAGTGGATCTTTACCACCAAAAGCCAAGGGATGATGGGTAATGAGTAAGGGATTTCTTCGGGCACATAAAGAAAGTATTATAAAATTAGAGTGTGGTGGATGCTGCCCAAACCTGTGAATCTGCCAAAACCACCTTAAATGGATGGCTTTTTTCTTATGTGTGATTTGGAGCTAATAATACACATGTAACAACAGGATGTGAGGGAACTGGTGGATGACTACAACAAAAGCAGAAAGCCAGACCTAAGCTCGGAAGCCTGGACAAGCGCTGACACACACACACAGTGCA